TGGCGCACGGGGCCGGGGCCGGCGGAGCCCGCCCAGAGCCGCCTTGGCGGGGCGTGGGGGCGAGCACCGAGGGCCAGAGCACCTGCGGCGGGCTGCCAGCACTGCCCCGGCCCGCGGGTCCTTCCCAGCGGCGGCCTCGGGGACAGCGCGGGGAACCCCGCCAGCTGCGGGTGGAATGAAACCGGGAATGAGGTGCCGGCGGGATTAAAATAAGAAACAAATGGGACTGGACGTGCTGCGTGAGCTAACGGTGTGCTGGAACAAGAGCGCGGTGAAGAGCCAGGGGAGGAAAGGCACCCTTTACTGGTTTGACGTCATTTGGCAAACAGTAGTGTGGTGGCTTTGAGGTAGATCTTTATAAACAGGTACCACGAGGCAATGACAGAGATACTTCCAAACCCCACATTTTCATCTGAAAATGATGTACTTACCCTAGTTATAACTACAATAATTGATTGCTAGAATGGATAAAACGTCCTTATTTTTCCTATTGACGGCATTTGGGCCTTGAGCCACCGCAGGCCGGTGCTTTATTTACACAGGGTGCTTCAGGCGAGGGCAGGGTCTGGTCATGAGCTCAGCATCCTTCTCAGTAACACCTCCCTTATCCTCTGGCCAGCTTTGTCCAAGCTGAAGGTCTGGGAGCAGATGCTTGTTTCCAAATACGAGCATTCAGCCTGTCTGCATGATGGGACATGCACCCCCTTCCCTGAAAGTCTGGCTTACCAGGGGAAGAAAAAGGTGGGCTCACACAGCAGGACCTGCCGGGCTTCTGTCCTCTGGTGTGAATGACAGAGGAAGCAAGGTGGTGGGTATGGTGCACTGGGAAATGCTGCTCTCTCCAGCTCAGAAGTGAAGAGGAGCTGGAGCCAGCAGCCACCGCTGCCCCCCAAAGCCTGCTCCCCCCAAGTCCCCAGTGCCTGTAGCCATCTTCCCCCAAAGTGGCAGAGTGCTCCCATCTAAAGTAAAAACAGACCTGCATCATATCCCTGTATGCCACACCCATCGAAATGCTGCTTACATGCATAAAGCATTAATTAAATCAAGTATTTTAAGTTGCTTTCTTGCTGAAAAGGCCTTTATGATAAATACCAGATTGATAACAGTATTTTAATGCATTGCAAAGAAAATCTAACATCAGAAAACCAGCAGGATTTCAGAGAAGGTAAAGGCTGTTCTATCACAACCTGATATGTTTTATGGTAGTCAATTAAAATACTAAGTTGAAACACGCAAGTGCAAACATACTTATCTTTGTTTCACTGCAGTTGTGAATACATAACCATACAACCTCTTAATGTAATAATCCCGATGATAGATTTCAGGTTTATATTTCACCTTTCACACTGGGGCCATCAGTGTGTAAAAGCATCTCAGATTCAGTTCAATACTGGCAGTGCTGTAACTGATAAATGCAACATCGATTTACTGTATGGACACAGCAAAACCACAATGGAGTCAGGAATACCAGACCCTGTGTTATGAAGGGAAGGAACGTTGGGCATGAATTTAGCTCAAGGTCTTTCCTGTAGAGCCCTACGCAGTATTAAACACCTTCTGAATACACATGAGAAATAAGCAAAATAATCTAATTAATATTTAAATGGATTTTAATTTATTATCTGACAGGCTATGCTTTCCTGAGATAGGAGCCTAGGTTTTCCTACAATTGGTGGCCTGCAGCGTAGTCAACAAAAAGACTGCACAAATACATAAGATGTACAATGTACAAACTAAGCAGCTCGCCAAGTTTAGACATTTTCTCTAATAGCCACATTAATGAAGAGGATAATTATCAGCAATTCCTGCTATGCGATGGGAATGTGTAATGGTAGTGAAAAATGCACACAGACTCTGGAAAATAACACGTGCTGAGGACTAAATGTTAGGACAAATTTCTCTGATCTTTGAAGAAAAAGGTGGCAGAGGTAATATGAGATGGCTCGACCAGCACACGGCCTATTGTAAAAAAGCCAGCAAAGTAATATGGGTTAACAAACACAGAAAGTCCATTCGTTTCAATGAAATTTATGCCCAGGGGTAATTTAGTCTCAGTGTACAGAATGTAGTCATAGCCATCGTTTTATTCCCCAAGCAATTTATGACCAGGGCATAAATCTAGCAGTGGAATTAGTAGAATACTATTAGTCTGTAAATTGTAATCTTTCACAATGCATTTACTAATCTTGCATGCCTTTGTTCTCGAGCTTCTAATTTTTTCAGATTTTCATTCACATAAAATATATTTCCTAGACTTCCTTACTACGTTCGATGTACCACCTGAAGAGTTGCAATTCTAAGCCCTAATAGTGACAACTGATGACCAAAACTGGGCACACAGCAGTTACCACCTGAAATACATGAGTTAAAAAAACAGCGTTCCACCTAAAATAAAGAACAGAATACTGTTTGAAAAGATAGTTGTGCAGGAAGGAGACAGAAATCTACTCTTTATGCTATACTTTCCTCTTGTTTGGGGGAATCCACACCTAGTGATAAGTGGAATTTCCTACTCCTTCACATGATGGAAGATAAATCATTATTACCTGTAACTATTTCTTGGTGATATGAAATCCTAGCTACTGATAACTGATATCAACATCTTTCACAGAGACTAGTTTTCATTATCAACATGGGTCAAAATCTAACTTATAACTGAGATATGAAAGTCTGGTTTCTGCTATCAAATCCTTAAGCTACTCGGAGCACTGGCTGGTTGATTCCTACAATGCAGCACAGCCAGTTTATCTGGTACTGCAGCGGGTAATGCATACTTGTAAACACAAAACCTGCCACCTCCCATCAAACTCTTATTTATGCACTGGGGTTATGATCCTCCTCAGATTTTTTTTTTATTTTAATTCAGATCAGAAAACACGTCCAGCTGTTAAAGACTCTTCAGCTAGATTGCCCACTGCCAGAACATATGTCTAATCTCATCAACACCTGAACTTCAAGAGAACAATGTCTTAATGAGTCATTAAAAAAATTATATGGCTACCTGACAGCAACTGTCTCGTTGTGATCATTTGAACTTTATCCTTTCCTCCCAAAAAAGAATCAATCCTAATGAGATGCTCCAAAACAAGAATGTCCAAATGGTCTCATTTATGATGTTCTTTCAATAGAAGATATTATTTCAAAACCCCCCCAGCCTTTCAGTTTCTTAATCAAAAAAGTACTTAATTGCATATTGATATGATAATAGAAACTGACTTCTTACAGTGGTGTGAAAATTCGACTCATCTTCAGCTCTGAATGTCTAAAGTGTCCTTAAAATTTGCCCAGCTTTCCCAAAACGGCTTAGCCTTTTCATACACTGAAAAGACAGTATTTGTCCCATACATTGTAGCATTTGCACTTGGCCCATGTTCATTTGAAAATGCTGGATTAAATTCTGCCCCATGAGAAAATAGTTACAGACCTTCTAAAGTATATTAAAATATACATATTGCTTTTAAATGTTGTAGTATGAAGTGAAAGTGCACAACGTAAAGTATCTAAGGGAATGGTATGGTTTATATATCAGATTAATCCTCAAACGTAACAGCAGAAATACAGATGTTGATGGAACACAAAGACAAATGACAACAGTCATGTTCCCTGTTTTCTTAGCCAGAAAAGATAAAGCAGAACAAAACTTAGGCTGCTGTCCAGAGTGAAGTCATTTTCTGATTACTGGTCAGAATAATACATACTTTAAAAAATTACTTCGCTCTCCAGGAAAAGAATAAATATATTTTCTGAGGGAAGAACCCAGACTTTTTTTTTTCAAGTTTACTTTAACACATTTAGGAGAATAATAGGTTTATTATTACACTCACTTTAAGATATACTATCTTTTCATATTTCTAGGGATCACTGTCTGATTGCTCCAATGTGAAGCTATGGCACAATAGAAAAAGCAAGGCTGCTTTATTTTTGTTTGTTTTTAAACTATTCCTGTACAGATCATATGTATTTTTTCCTTTGGTAGCTTCCTGAGAACTTCTAGTTCAGGAGACAAACCATTCTGTGACACTGCTGAACCTGAAACATTCATACCTTCAGTGAGAAATTAGGTAATGTTCAGGTAGTGATTTGAACTTGGCAGCTGAACAGTCTCATCCATGTTACTTTTTAGTTGCTGGAGACTTCATAGCTCTTTGCCTTCAAGTTAAATACACGAGCACAAGTGATGAGAATGGATGGAGACTAGGAGAAAAAAGGAGGTAGGCAAAAAAGAAGGAAATGTGAATCCACCAGGTTCTTAACTCAGTTTTCATTCTACCGTTCCAAGCAATGTTGATCTAGCAAGCTTTCTTTTATATATAAATAATAACGTATCTGGATTATTTTGCAGTGCTACTAGAAATATTTACATAGTTTTCATTTGGTTCAAGTATTCAATTTATTTTAGACCAATTATTTACAAAACTGTTGCTCATCTCTCCCTACACCACAGCCTAAACCTTCCAAAAGTAAAAAGCAAAACATTTTCCTTTGGAGGCAGTGTGTGGGAGGCAAGGAGCAGGAAAGGTAATGGGACTAGGACGTGGGAGTGACTTTGCATACAGGTCCCTTCCGTACCCTGCATGTTATTTGGCATCACAAGAACAAAATGCTAACCTGTTTCCTTCCTTGTCTGAGTAGTGGCTTCAGGGTCCAGCAATGTATGTCCTGCATCGCAGCGCTCTGCCTCTCTCTCTGCTGGCCTCCTGCTTTAATTCATGTACTAGCATGGGAAGCTGAGAAAACTATGTTCTATTGAACAGTAGTGTAAATACTGACAGGTGTGGCATATAAGGAACCATCAAGAGAGAGCATGAGCTTTGAAATCACTATTAAGAGAATAGAAGTAGCAGCCAGTGGAAAAGGAGGGGAAGGATAAGGCAGAAGATTAGATGGAGAGGGAACATAGTAGAAGTAGACAATGGAGGAGAAGATGTGGCTCTGCTAGGAAACAAGAAGCAGATGAAAATAGGGAAACAAAGGAGTAAGGAGCACTGATTTTCCTGCCTGATGTACTTTACTGACACCAGGACCAAATCTCTCATTTGAGAAGATTGGGCAAGACCCTCTTTAGCATCCCTCATTATTGCTTTAATGAATTCAGCTTGTTCAGATATCTGATTTCCAAGTCCTTTGTGCTGGATAGTGGTAAGGTGATCAGCTTTAAGGACTAAATAGTATTAGATTCCTCACATTATAATGTGAACAATCACATTTCATAACTCAAACCCATCCCATTTAGGCACAAAAAAATTTTACGTGATTGAGTTCCAAGAAAAGGCAGGAAAGGAGGCCACCTCAAACAAGTTATTTTGCTGTTCAGAAAATGACTGTTCAATTATGTTCCAGTCTTAGGATTTTGCTTCATATTATCTAGGCTAGCTGAGCTTCCTCTGGCCTGAATGCCTGCTGTAATTTGATTCTCCTGCACTTTACAGACAGGTTGGTAACTCTCTACATCTGTGATCTAATCACAGTTTAGATAGTAACTGCACCTTTCAGTTTCTAGCCTCCTCACCGAGCATAAAAAGTCCATTAGGGTTGGTATTGGTCCAACATAAGAAAACTTTAAGAGTCCAAAAAGGCTAAATCAATAATACGAACCAAATGCAGAAACCACAGCTTTGATGTGGGACAGAGAGAACATGGTGACTGATCATGGGTTTTCAGGGCAGTACCCCAAACTAATAGAGTTTTAAGAGTTACTGTTCTTCAGTGATAGGTCAAATTGGATGTTAAATGAATGCTTGTATTGTAATATACCTATACACACCCTATACATTTAAACATAAGTGTCTTTTGCTGAGAGTCGCTATCACAGTTCATAATCCATCCTCATCTTTTAATCCTCACTCCCACCAAGACAACACAAGCCTTACAGACATTTTGTCTCTCCTAAAGAGGCAAGCTGCCTGCCAAGCATGTTGGAATTAGGACAATCTCTGAACCATGCTGCTGTGTTCTCATCGTTCTTGCAAGTATTCACTTGGCCAAAGGCAAAATTTCTGGTGCAGTGGTCAATGGCCTCTCAACGTTTTTGATGCTGTGGACTTCTTGAAGCTTGCAGTTATGCTAAAGGCTCTCAAACATGGTTATTCCTTTCTAATGTAATATGACTTCTCTCTCCAGAAGACACATTTGTTTTGGTAAATGAACATAATTTCTGTTACCCTCCTCCGGGGGAATTCTGCAAGGCTCCAGCTTAGATCTTCATTTTATCTTATTTTTAAGTGGTTTGCATGCCTAGTCAATACTCTCTGTCCTCAGAGGGCATTAATGTTTATTAATAAACTTGATGATGCTCTCAAAGAACTTGCGTTTGAAAATACAGAAACACATCACACTGTTGGCTGTACTGGTGTCAGGCAGTGGAGCAGTATTTTGGCAAACATCACAGCATATAAGCAGAATGACTAAGTGCAAAAGCAGAAAAATAAAGAGGCTGCAGTGTTACTTTCTAGTTGAGAGGAAAAATTCTGACACTCCCTAGCCTAATTGATACTTTCTGGCTTATGCTGCTCGTTCAAAAAGCATTTGTGAAGTTTAGAACAATGCTTACCTGCACACAGTTGCACCAAACAGACCCAGGATGGACAGCCAAGAAATAACACATGCTGCCTCACATGCAGCCAGAGTATCAATCGCTTCCCATCCGCTCATGCAAGTAACGTTGTCTGTCTAGGTGGCATCTGCACTGCTTCATTCACAGGCTCCTCTCCAATATAAATATGCCAGTTTGGACAAGCCAGCTGAATACTGCTTTATGTTGGAGGCTTCATGTAAATGCTCCTATGCCTATAAACTAAATATAATACTAAGTAACATCAGCTGAAGCATCAGTCATATCTCTTTATTTAAATAAAAAGCCAGCATAAACTCTGACATAATGGAAATAATTAAAAAAACAAAATCAAAACCCAAACTTCTTGTTAACTAGCCAGCTTAATACTGAATGCAATACTCTTTCACATCATCTCTGTCATTGCCAGCTGCTCCCCCAGAAATACTCTGAGCGGCATCTTGAAGCTGCCTGTCTCACACACAGGCTCCTTCGCATGCAACTATAGAAATTAGAAATGCTGCACCTTGTCAATGATAGTTGCTGATTGGAAATAGAACAGCATCACCCAGATGTCAGCACACCACACGTCAGACTGTACTGCTCCAGTCTACCAGTGGATGAGGCTTTCTTTAAGCCACCTGCAGCTCTCTTCTCTGTGGAAACCAACACATGGTACCCAGACAGCCTAATATTATTCTGAACAACACTCAGCATCCCTGCGGAAGCAGCTATTGCATGCACAGGCATGACAGAGTCTCTAGTTGTTTCATTTGTCCTGAAGAGACCACTGTCAGTCAAAGGCTAAGGGGATCTATAACTGTATGCCAGCATTGAATTTACCTAGGCGTTATTCAGAAGTAAAGCCCATTGATACCGGTTGGAGCTACTCAATATTCACATAGCTTCTAAGGCTAGACCACTTCTGGAGGTGTGTGAATCTGGAATTGTACTTTAGACATGCACTTTTGAAAGCTGGGGGCCAAGTGACCCCATTCATTTTTATCCAGGCAAGACTGCAGTGGAAACTGAGGAATGCAATGCATTTGCAATTACATAGTTGCAGCCACACAACATGGCATGTGGCAGTAGAATGGGTTTTGGGCTTTCTGGACCTCAGGTGGTTTTTGTTTCTAATACCACTAAAAGCCTATTTACTGAAGCAGCCTGTAAGGCAAACATCAGACCCGCAGAAACAACAACTGAAGTGGGAGAGACCCTCTGAACTCCATGAATTATTTACAAACAGCTTTAGGAGCTCTGGGATGAAGTAAAGTACTTTCAAGCATAGACAAAAAACCCTAATGGATATAAAAATCCTTTTGTAGCTCTTGGTGAGATTTCTTTTCACAGACCTAGCTATGATATGAGGAAATGTATGAGGTCATCCAGTCTGCCGCCTCCTCTTCCAGGAGAGAAGTGGTCCCAGTGCAATGTTTTATAACACTTGGCTCAGCCTAGCTCTGCCTGACTCAGACAACAGAAGCCAAACCCACTTCTTGGGAATCGTCTCAATTTTTCACTTTGTGGAATTTTCCCCAGTATTCCACCCAGAACAATTCAATGCAGTATGCATAAAGACACTTTGATGTCATGGTCGTTATCCTGTTGATTTCATATTTATCCCCCTTAGACAAACCTTAATATTTTCTCAGCCATCATGGTGGCAACATCCCTTTAACATCTGTCTACAGTCATGCTCCTCACCGTTTGGGCACGCTATAGCTGTGCTCTGCTGTAACTAAGCCTTCACAAGCAAATTCTTTCGGATGTTTTCATGTCTGTTCCTTCCTCTCTGTACTCAAGACATTATCATCACACTCAAGGAAAAGGACAATAAAAAGTGATGAGAAAGAAGTGAAGAGACTAAAATGCCTTTCTTCATGCTACCCCAGATGTGCAGGCACAGAAAGATCCATTCTAAGTGTCCGACCCACACTCATCATTTAAGTTTTACCTCTAGGATTTATGTTAAGGGTATTGTTTTCATTTCTGATTCCTATTATATGTCTAATAAATCCTTTGTTTTTAAAGTTATTATTATAACCTTTGAATTTTTCCATTGTTGTTTGGACAGTTAAAGGAAATGATGCTGCCCCTAGAAGAGATTAAACAGGAAGAGTTCCTGTTCTCGTGTCTCAATATCAAGATGACAGAGAACATCCCCATGAATGATTTTGTTTCCAGGATCTAATACCAAATGATTGTTCAAGAAGCGTCACAATCAAAGTTACAAAGGAGAACTGAGTTTAAAGGAATCAATCTGAGATCCCAAAGCACTTGTTTTCTTTGCATATTATTCTTTGTGCTTTAAAAGAAAGAAACCCCATATAAAATACAGTTATTTGCTCATCAAAACAGCCTTTCATATTTGTAAAGCTTTACCAAAATGTTTCAAATGAACTTTGTTGATTGTTGTTTTTAAAATTATTCTAAAATTGTCTTCAAATTGGTAGAGGGATATGTACACAGGTACTTTCAAATTTCCAAAATAATTACAGTTTAAGAAATATTCGTATTTTTTTTAAAAGGATTTTTACTTTCTGACCAAATAAAGATTTTTTCAGCATTTGAAATCTCTAACATCTCAAACAGAACATTGAACACAGTAACTTACCACAGCTTGTTTTATGTGTTAAAAATGTCATCAACTGTTGCATACAATCATCTCTGAAATAAAGCTCTGAAATATGTGGAGGTACAAGTCCTACCGTATCCACACTAAGCTGCTCTTTACACAAGGTTCTTCTGAGGTAAATTCCCATCCTAGAAGCAGCTTACCCTCATGACACTATTCACTAAGTGATCATTATTCTAATTTTACTCTCGAGGAAATGTAGACAAGTAAGACAAAGTATTTGTCTAAAACCATAGAGTAACTCAGGTGCATTTCACTGACCTGTGTAATCACAGCACATTGCTTTAGTAAGTAGAACTCTTTCCATGGAGAAGCTTTTTTCAATACTTTCCTGAGTCAAGCACATATATTTTAACACGCTGGTACCTTTGCCAGAAAGCTTTTTTTCCTTCCACCATTACAAAGTATGGTCACATGCAAGTGAACTTCTGCCTGTCTGCAGGACTTTATGTAATAAGAGGTTCTAGCAAGAGCTGCACTACCTGTAAGATATATACAGCAACTAGGTCAGGCTGTTTACAGAATAGCTAGTGATTATCAAGACAGTATTCAGCAGCTATGACTATATTATACCAGAGTATAATTACAGACAGACATAGTTAAAGCACTGTAAAATAAGTAAGCAGTGGCACTTAATAAAGCTGTTCAGGATTGGGAAGAGGTTAGGGTTTTGACTCTCAGTCCCTCAGAGACTAATCAAGATTCTAATCAAGAATCATCCATCTAAACATCTGCTGGGGACAGTCACCTCACACCTTTGGGGAAAAGAGTGGATTTTGTAACAAAACACAGCACTTTGAATGGTGAAAAGAAAAATTGCAGGAGAAAGACAGAAATAAAATTCTAATCGAGATTGATTACTTGTACATAAAGTAGATATGCCACTATACCAATAGCTGTATAAAGTGTAAGTGTTCCCATCCTTACCTCTCAGAATATGGCAGAAACTTTCCTTCCCCTCCTAAATATACATAATCCATTAATACCTTGCATGACATTTCAGGATTGACTTCCAATTTGTCTATAGACCCTGTGATTAACAAAACATGGTCTTCTTCAGGCAATGTCTATTCCTAAATGACAGAGCACAGGTTAGAAGGGAGGTAGGAAAGTGCCTATTTCCATCCCAGCTATGGAGAAGGCTGCATTCTCTGGTACAAAGTAGTTATGCTAACACTCCCAGCAAGCAATGCATTACCCTAATACTAGGATATCTTTCAATAATGGCTGAATCATTGTTACTTTACAGTGAAGTCTCAGAGCAAGGGAAACAGCCGTTTTTGAGAAGATCTAATTCTAGCCAATGAGTACAACTGAAGCAACCGAGCAACTACATCCCCCACAGCCACAGACAGAAACAGTGTCAGGCAGCAGCAGTCTTCCTACTCCAGCAATTCCCTCTCCTACCTAGTATGTGGCTCCATGTGTTCTTCTTCCTGAAGTGGAATTCAAGGGAACGAGACTGCCTCCCCTGGCTGCATTCAGTACTTCTCAGAGGGCCCATCACAGGCTTTGTAGAGTCCAGTACCAGACAGATCACAACCATCAGACAACACAAAGGGTTCTAAAATGCTGTAGGCATGTTAGAGTTGAGCAAAAGCTGTGAATTACTAAAAGGATTTATCATGCTACTACAGAGAAGATATATATTAGCTTCCATAGCATTTTGTTGATTGTGGTAAGAACTCGGGTGCTTCTCCCACAACACTGCAGATCTCCTAAAAAAACTAGGTAACTCTAAGGATACTGAACAAGAACACAGCTCACCAGAAACGCTTTTAATACAATCAGCACCTCTTCAGTTAATAACCTTGGTGAAGTACAGTTGTTGAGCTGTTACAAACTTATATAGATCCACTGGTATCAGTGATCAGACAGATCCCTTCAAATACACTTAAAATTTGAACAAGCTTGGCTTAGAAATGCCAGTAGGTTTGCACTGCTCCTAACCTCAAAATGCCTCTATATGCAAAATCAAAGCATACCCCAAGCTGACTGTGCAAATACGTTCTGCTCCAGTCACTCTACATTTTTAATAGCTATCCTTTACTACTTCAGGGATGTTCCTCTAAGCTTACATCATCTGGAAATTAAAAGATGCTATTTCAGGGTACACCCAGTCAAGACACACATGGCCGGGCAGAGCAGCACAGCTGCATTCTGTACTTTCTATTCCCTGACAGGGACTGACAGCCAAGAATGCAGATCTATGCAATCATTAATATTAACAACACTGAAGGAGCCTAGTGATAAAACCACATACTGAACACCAGTAAAAGTGTTCATCACCTTATGAAGTATTTCATACATCTCCCCCAGGCAAGCAAAATAAATTCAAAATGTTTCTATTACAGTAATTAAATATTGTATATTAATTAGTAGGGGGGTCTCAAACTGGAAAACAGTTTGAGCCTTCATATTTCAGCCTATTCTGCTGCAGTATCTAAGTATTCAGAGTACCATGACAGTGCTGTGGGCTGGCAATGGACCATGAAGTATTGTCCATTGCAAAATGCAGAACAGATTCTAACAGCAACTTTAAGAAAAAATTTAAAAAATTTTTAAAAAGCTACCTGAAGTTAACCTCATTATAACAGGCAAGATGACAAGCAGCAGTAGAAGAAAACAATTTTCCAGATCCAGAAAAACTGAAATAGTTACAGATGTTTGCAAGAAAAACACTGAGCACTTTTTTTTTTTTTTTCATTTTTTTTACTACTTGGGTAAGAGAGGGCTCTGACAAACAAACGTGCTACAATATACAGTCTATTTAAACTACAGAAGTTCAAACCCAATAAAACCAAAGACCAAAGTGCACTCCTGAGGTGGACTCCAGTATTTCACAGTGTGTTTCTTGTGCTCCACATGCAGCTCACATGCCAAGACCTCTCCAGCTGGGAACAGAAAGCTCTTCTCCAGCATTTCCACAGTAGTTCATTATATTGTCCAATTGGCACTATTTCTTCTTGAGAGCTCTCTTTCCTTCCCCCTTCTTTGGTTTTTCCTTCCCACGGAGCTTTTTCATTCGCCTCATCTCCTCCTTAAAGTCCTGATGCTCATCCCTAGATGGGGGAGGAAGGAAAAAAGTTTACTCTATTTCTCGGAATACCTGGATGTGGAAGGTTCTTCGAACTGTATGATCATGAAAAAAACCAACCCTCAAACCTTTTTTTAACACTGAAGTCCATATTGAAACTTACAGCAATGTATTTAATGTTGCTGCTAGCAGTAATTCTGGACTGAATAACATCAAAGATTTCCTCTGGTACTTTCAGAACTAACAAGGTTGCCCTTTTCAGCAACAAATGGCATGTCCATATATATTATTTCCACTGCATTTATTGATCCACTGTGTTTAAATGAGCAGTAAAATATAAAAATCAGCAAGAGACAAGAACAAGAATTTCCCCCTTCTCATCTAGCTCAGCAGTCTAGCAACAGCACATTGTGTTTCTGTGCTAGATACTGAGTTCAGGTCATTAGCTTCTAAGAAAACAGGGGCATGCTGAGCAATAATTACAGTACATGACACTGGTCTCAGGTGACTTCAAGGATGAGTTATGAAGAAAGCATCAGCTACTGGTAGAATCTTAACAGGAGAATAAAATAGGAAGGAGGATAAAGGGCCTGGCAGAGATAATGAATCCTCAATAATGTTCTAATAAATTCTGTTTAATCTCTGCCCCGTATTCTTCAGTGCAAAGGTACCTTTCAAAAGTCACAACTGCATCCTAAGCGGCCTAAGATTGCTGCACTGCTATTTTTAAACACAACTTTCCTAAAGAAACAAAAAGCTTGCGAATTGTTATCAGGCTCTATTAGTCTACGACTCTTCATTACGTATCTCTGACCAGCAAACCGGATCCTCTACAAGCTCTCTGTACACAGAACAGCTAGAGAAGGAACTTGAGATTAGAAGGGGAAGAAGAATAAAGAACTTTATCATATCATTGAGGCTTGCTGTGTCAACATAAAGCTATTCTAGAAAGTTTACACATGCACCTAAGCCAAGAGCATCCCGGATGCAATTCTTGATGGCTAATACTGTGATACAAGCAACAGCAATTAACCTGTTAACCTGTTTTAACTTTGCAGGGTTAGCAGCCTCACTTTTCAGGAATTTCTTCACTGCTACCTGACCTAAGTCAAAGAACTACATTTGACTCCTGTTGATGTTCTTTAGCAGTGCAGTTTTTCCTGCTCCAGACTGTAGAAATTCACTTAGAAATCAGACAACTGGTTTGGATGAAACTGGAATTAACAAGGCTTTTTAAACCACATTTAAATTTAATTTAACTTAATTTATTTTAAAGGATAAAAAGCCCCTCCAGCCTAACAGAGACTTTCCTTCTCTTCTAAATTTCACTTATTAGCTGTTGAATGATTGAGGAATATACAGTAAGACTGTCTTAGTGCAATTTTTGTGTTAAGGTAACCACCTTTTTGTAGTACATTTGGTTGCCATATTCAGAACTACACACTCATCTCTTGTCTATGAGAAAGGTCTCTTCCCTTCCCCACAAAGCCAAAGCAAGAACAATTTCATATATGACTGCTTGCCCATAACTACACCTGAAGTCTTTCTCACTGAAGGCAGAAGTTACTTACAGAGTACTCACTTGTTTTACTCTCCTTGCCCTCAGTGCAACAATCAAGTGCGTATTTCCATATGCACCATACTGTGAACTAAACCTTTTTCCATGTTCCTCTTTTCTTTGAGGAAAAAAAAAAACTGTACCAAAACTCACACTCACCCCTTTCCCATCTCCAGTTCTGCTCCCACCCTATAAATACAAAGATTACCTGTAGAGACCCAAGTAACGGAGTTTCATCATGAGGGCATAGTAGGTGTTGTGCGGAGGATACCAGCTGTAGACCTCCTTCCGCTTGGCCAAAGGCTGCTCACTGAATAACTTCACTACTTTCATTGATTTTGAGTCAGTTGGCCTGACAACTTCTCCAAATATGTGAGCACTCAGCCGGGCCATTCGAAGGGCATAACTGGAAACATTGGACATCTCCCAAGGAAGAATGGGCACACATAGACAGACCAACCTTCCTGCAAAAGGAAACACAAAAGAGCCACAACTCTTAAGACGATTGAGTATTGCAAGCTATCCCAGAATTAAGGCAAACAAAAGAACTCATTGTACTCTGATCACACATTTGAAGTCATGCATTCCTTGCATGAAATCAGTCTAATTCTTAATACATAATCCTGCATATAAAGAATGCCTACACTAATTCAGGTATAATTATCAGCCTAACTAGGACACTGCTGACAGCAGTGCAGACTAAAAAAGTACCTACACTGAACCACAATTTACCACGGCTAGTTTATTAGCCGGTCACACTCAGCTTAAGGCTACCTTTAAACTCCAGTCACACAGGAACAATTACAGTGTGAACTCTGCCAAAAACGGTGCCCACTGCAATACCTCTGACTTCTACACAAGCACAGGCAAAGACAGCACTTAAACAAATGCAGGAAGCAACCTGGAAGTTTTTCTTGCCCTATTTAAAACATTATATGAACACTGTTACAGTTCATCTAGCAAAAATGGCCTATTAAGTGTAAAAATAAATAAATCATCTTTATATGAATCACATAACTCTTTCCCATCTCAGCTACCTTCCCCTGACCATTTCCACCAGCTTTTTCTCCACTCTCTTTTCAGTCTCTCCTGATATCTTTCTTAAGAGAGGAAAGAAATAATTTCCCCATGCTAGATTATTTTTTTTCCAAGAAAACGCCACATCAGCAGCTTCCTGTTCTTTATCAGCTGTCTCCCACCTAGACACCTCTGCAACAAAAAAGCTCTGAGGACAAAACCATTGTTATTAGGCCAGAGACAACATCCACACTGTTAAAGAAGTGCAGAGGAGGGTTTTCTCAGCTTTCCTACCCCACCCCATTTTTTGTCTTCTTTGCATCTTTATTCTTTCTTTGTAGAATGGGATGTAACAGACTAGAACAAGAGTCCCATAATCCTGTATTTGAAGCTGTATGTTGCTGTATGTTTCACAGAATCATCTAGGTTGGAAAGGACCCTGGAGATCGAGTCCAACCTCTCACCTAGCACATTTCCCACCTACAGCATATCCATAAGCTACAAATCGACCCAACTCTTGAACACCTCCAGGGATGGGGACTCCACCACCTCCCTGGGCAGCCCATTCCAATGCCTAACAACCCATTCTGTAAAGAAATGCTTCCTGATATCTAGCCTGAACTTTCCCTGGCGCAACTCAAGGCCATTCCCTCTTGTCCTGTCACTTTCTACTAGGCTAAAGAGGCTCAGACCCAGCTCTCTGCACCCTCCTTTCAGGTAGTTGTAGAGGGTGATAAGGTCTCCCCTCAGCCTCCTCTTCTCCAGACTAAACAATCCCAATTCCCTCAGCTGCTCCTCATGAGACATGTTCCAGACCCTTGACCAGCTTTGTAGCTCTTCTCTGGACATGTTCGAGTAACTCAATGTCCTTTTTGTAGTGAGGGGCCCAAAACTGAACACAGTAATTGAGGTGCAGCCTCACCAGCACCAAGTACATGGGTAAGATCACTTCCCTGTTCCTGCTGGCCACACTAATCCTAATACAAGCCAGGATGCCATTGGCCTTCTTGGCCATCTGAACACACTGCTGGCTCATATACAGCCTTGTACTGTGTCTTTTTGAATAAATGATGACATGAGTCTCCAGAGAAATTAAGCAGAGTTCGTTCAAGTACAAGAAACTCACATTAAAGTTTAAAGGTTTTTTTTAAGAAGTACTGCACAGCTGATTCCAGAAGATGAGCATGAAAAATTCAAGAGTGTAGAGCAGGGACAGAGTAACTAGCAGGACAGGGCTAAGTCCATTTTAGTATGTTAACAGGGAGACTGTGGTTTAATAACACAAATCTGAAGCACTCGTAACCTCACTCACATATGTCTGCCCACCAGAGAACCTGATGTACAACTCTCTACTTTGATTTACTCCTGGTAGCAAAGCACAAGAAAGGAAGCAGGAACATAATACAAGTATTCTGAGTCAAAGGCAATAATGGAAAGAGTAACAAAAGGGAAGGCAAAGTGTCAGCGACCTCAAGCTAAGGCAGCAGGCCTAGTGTCAGAACAGAGAAGCTCTTAAATGATCCTAGGGCAGAACATCAACTTGAGCATCTATTACATGGGGGAATGATCACTATGTTTTGCCAAATCACCCATTTCAGAACAGCCAGTCACAATTCCTACAGTCAGAGATAAAGCAACAAATTGTCCCCAAAACTTTTCATCACATTGTCACTCTGAAAACATGACCAGCCTCAAATCAAACACAAAACTCGATTACTCACTTCCAACTGCAGCCTTAAAGTGAAAATACCTTTAGCTCCTAAAGAATGTAAACCAGTGGTCTGAGGAACCTGCTTTTCACTTCAGAATCACTAATCTAAATAGCCCAAGCCAAACCTGGAGACCTCAATTAGTCTTTGCCAGCCTAAGCACATTTGAGAGATGAGAAAGGTGAAGGCCACAAACTCCCACATGCCTATTTTAGGGCAACCTCCGATTCTGTGAGATGCTACCAGTTTTGTTGTCACTTACAGCAATGATATTTTCATGAGAAAACATTGGTAACTAACACACCTAAAACAAAAGCCAAAACACCATGTGGTGCTGCTTCTTCACCTGCTACCCAAGGCCTTGCTTTCCTGTCCTAGGCCAGGACTTTTCTTCCTGCTCCGCTAGACTGTCTCAGACCCTTTCCTTCTCAATCAGCATATGCCAGGAGCACTTTCTGTTTCCATAATTACTTTCGATTCTCCCATGAGCACACGGGGAATACAGGGCTACCCGGAGCCACCGCCCGGCCAGAGGGGCACCCGAGCCAGGCACGGCCCAGCGCAGCCCTCTAGCAAGCCCCGCCGCCTTGCTTCCCTCCAGGGGGCCAAGCGCGGAAACCCACCCGCCAGCTCCACCCGCACCTCCCAGTAACCGCCACCACCGGCTCTCCGGGGACAGAGGCCCTGTCTC